AGAGAGAGGGAGGCAGAGACACAGGCAGAGGGAGAAGCAGGCCCCATGCACCGGGAGCCCGACGTGGGATTCGATCCCGGGTCTCCAGGATCGCGCCCTGGGCCAAAGGCAGGCACCAAACCGCTGCGCCACCCAGGGATCCCCAGTTTTGGAAACTTTGACCCAACCTCTAAGAGCCTGGATGCTGGAAATCAGATCTGAGTGTAAATTCCTGCCTTAACACTTACCAGCTGAGTGGTACTAGGCAAACAATAGAAGTTTTCCTATGTCTGTTTGCTTACTGGTAGAAAGGGATAATAACCTTTCCAGGGTTGGTGTGAAGATTAATTGAGATAATTTATGAAAGTTTTTGGCATGTAATGAGTGCTCAGTAAATAGTAGCTGTTATCTCATTGTTATTCTAGGCTTTGAACCTTAACTTGCTTTTCCAGCCTTATAAAAAAAGCAAGAGCCAGTGAGTAGGGACTCTTATAACGCACCATAAGTTAATGAAAGTAATGGAAAGGTTTTAAATGGGAAGGAGTGGTTTGAATTCTACCCCCCCCCCCCGACAGCTGGTATTATCTCCAGAGGCTCATTCTGCTTTGCCATTGTCTTAACACATATACATCCTACTTATCACTCAAGGTCCCTCCTTATCACTTGAGCCCTTTCTCAACAATGTCCTCATTCACTCCCTCACTGGCAGTTTGCAATAATCTCTTCTTGTAAATTTTATAGCCTTTTTTCTCTGTCTTTCGTTAGCACTTACCACTTGCTTTTACGAATCAAGTTATTTATGTGCTGCTGTATTTATTTCCCTAAGTGTATATATTTCCCTTTTAAGGGCAGGGTCATGGGACGCCTGGGTGGCTCAGCGGTTAAGCATCTGCCTTCAGCTCAGGGTGTGATCCTGGAGTCTTGGGGTCGAGTCCCACATCAGGCTCCCTGCATGAAGCCTGCCTCTGCCTCTCTCTCTGTCTCTCATGAATAAATAAAATCTAAAAAAAATAAATAAATAAGGGCAGGGCCACATCTTGTCCCATGTTTGTAAGCATAATACAGGGATTTGTAGTATTCACTATGTATTTGTTAAATTAAAAACATGCTCTCTCTTTATGGTTCACTGAGTAGCTTTCTAATTACAACATCAGTGTCAATAAATATAGAAAAAGTTGATTTTCTCCAATTAGCAGAAATCCACAGGTCTGGAGCTCTTTCCAAAAGTCTTTTCTATCAGAGCATCATCTGCTGCCCTCCTGTGTTTGATACGAATATTATTTTATACCAGAACAACAACAACAAAAAGAATAACTGGCTCAATTAAATTTATTTCTGTTTACTTTCAGATCTTTGAATCAATTTTTCCCATACCAATTAGTTTTCCTTTTCCCATTAAAATTATATTTATTTATTATTTATTTATTTTTCTTTAAAAAATTATCTTTAATACATTTCAAGCTACATTTTTTACTTAGAGTTATATAGTATATAAGAACTTTTCATACTGGTCTGATACTCTCTCAGTAACTACTTAATTTGTTAATTTTCATTTTTTTATGAGACAATAACTAATTTCAAAATATTCTAATATGACCTTTATGTATCAGACCTGCTTGGGTAACAGTATATATAAGACTGTACTTTGGAGCTAGAAAGGCCCAGTTCAAATCCTGGCTTAACCACATAGTAATTGTATATGTGGCCAAACTGCAATAGTAATTGTATAACCTTGGGCAAATTACTTGTCTGAAATTTTTCATCTGTAAAACAAATACCTCCCCAAAGATCACATAAAACCCTTTGTGCACTATAAAAGCTATTGATATGTTAGCTATTCTTACTATTTAGGAGGCATGTTTTCAAATACATTTTTTCTTTGGTATTACTTATTTTGAGTAAGTTGAAGACTGCATAAGGATATGAATTAGAATGACCCAGTATATTATCAGGATTAAGTTCTGTCTTTCCATATTCAACACTCAATATTTATTGAACACTTGTGATGTGCCAGGCACTATTGTAAACACTTGGGCTTGTGCAACCTAACAATATAAATCCTAGCCATCTCATGAAGTCTTTAAGTTACTAACTTCCCTTTAAATTCTTGCAGGTCTTATTGTCTACATTACTTATTTGATTCTTTATACAAGCTACTCCATACTAGGTATCCAGTCCCTTCCTGTCTATCCCAGGGTAGGTTGTCATCTCTCTTGGTCTACTGCTACAGCCTCTAGTTAAGAGATGGGGGCCCAGTCTCATGCCACTTTGTATACCTTTAAGTTTTTTAAGGATGGAGATTTACAGCTTGAATCTCTCCTACTCGTTAACATTAAGGGAGGAGAAAGCATTAGTGTTAATATTTTCACTTAATTGCTAACAATAACAGTCTGTTCTGTTACACCACCTCAGTCTATTCTCAACATAGCAGCCAGAGGGATCCTCTGAAACTGGTCAGTTGTTTACCTTGAAGTGACATCCTTTTCTTTTTTTCAAGATGTTATTTATTTATTTATTCTTGAGAGACACAGAGATAGGGAGAGACACAGGCAGAGGGAGAAGCAGGCTACCCCCAGGGAGCCTGATGCAGGACTTGATCCCAGGACCCCAGCACACCCTGAGCCGAAGACAGACTCAACCACTGAGCCACCCAGGCATCCTTGATATACATTTCCATTCATTATTTTTATCAAACGCCTACCAAATACTCAAGTCTAAATAACCATAGTTTAATCTACCATCTATCAGTATTTTTCAAGCAAAGATGATGGGAAAGGAATTTCAGGAAATCTGTGAAGTTAACATTATTTTCGTAATACTAAGATTTACCATTCTTAGCTGCTTCAGCATTTGTACAGATGACAGAAAAGCAACGGAGAGTAAACAAGCACTTAGCATGAATCAAGGTAGTGGCACCAAAAAGTACTAGCAGTCTTTGTATTTTCCACTTCCATGTACTCTCAATGAAAACAAAACCAAAAAGTCAACTCAGTTTCACTTAAAAATGTTCTTTATGCAGTAGAAAGTAGTAATTTTATGAAATCCTAGCTCTTGAGGGGACGTCTTTTTAAATATTTCATGTGACAAAATTGGTAGTAAGCATAAAGCATTTCTGCTGCTGCCCAAGTACGATGGTTTTAAGGAAAAGCACTTATTTCGGTTGCAAAATGAACCAGCTTTTTTTTTTTTTTTTAAGCCTCAAATTGACAAACTATAGTTACTTGGAAATGGGTATTTGGCAGACATTTCCTTGAAAATGAACCAAGTGGGCCTGTCACTTCAAGGAAAACAAAAGACAGTATTTGCTACTGGTCGACCTAATTGAAGCTATCAAGCCAAACTTAAAATCGTGGAAAACTTTACCATCACTCTGAGTTTTTCAGCTTCCCAATACTGTAAGACTTCTCTGATGAGATCAGTAGTAATATGAATGAATGTAATCTCTTGATATGTATAATGAGATGTGTCAACATTGTAAGGTCTCTATCACTGTGAGTCAATACTTTCCAAATGAAGGATGTATGAGGTTACAAAATCATGTATGGGTAAAGGATTCTTTCTAAGTTCAAGATAGAGGAATGAATTCTAATGTAACAGAATGAAAAGTTCATTGATCAGAGTCCATGTTATAACTTAAGAAATTACTTAAGAAATAACTTAAGAAATTACTACTTGGGAGTTTTGCTAGAGAATTAACAATTATCCACAATTACTTGAAAAAGCTATTAGAATATTTCTCCCTTACCTCATATTTTTGTGGACTTTTCAGACTTCAACCAAAACTTTATATCACAATAGTTCAAATACAGAAGCAGACAGGAGAGTCCAGCTCTTTTCTGTTAAACCTGACATTGAAGACATTTGCAACACTGTTTTTTTTTTTTTTTAATTCTTCTCACTGAATTGCTTTTGGAAAAAGTTATTCTTCATAAAGTATGTTTGCTAACATGTAATGGTTTTATTGTTATCTACACGAATTACTAAATACTTTACAATTTTGTTTTAATTTCCAATTTGATGATTATCAACAGCTAGAACCCTCATTAACAGACTCTGTGGTATTCAAGAATTTTTAAGAACGTAATGAAGTCCCAAGGCCAAAAGGTTTGAGAATTACTGATCTAAAATATGTCAGCTCACATTACTTAAAACCATTACTCCCAATAGCTCCTCATTTCCCTCAGGATAAAGTCACAAGTTCTTGCACTGGCCTACCAGGCTCTACTCTTACCTGTTCCTCCTCCATCACCCATCCCTCTACTCCTCCCCTTGCTCACTCCCTCCAGCCACATTTGCCTCTTTGATGTTCCTCCAAAAAGCCAGACAATTTCACTATTACCACCATTGCACTGGCAGTTCCCTCTGCCTGGAAAGCAATTCCCTGTTTTCTGCGTGACTATTTCCCTCCCTTCCTTAGTCTTTGCTCAAGTGTAACCATCTCTGTAGTCTAACATAAGCATCTTGTTTCAAACTGCAAACGTACTGCTCCTCCCATCCTGCACAACACCTAATAAACTTGTTTATGCCTACAATTTGTGTGCCCCCCCCCAAGTATAACATAAGCTCCAAAAGCGAGGCAAAATGCCCACCACGTAGAACTGACTCAACAAGTATTTGTTGAATGCTGAATGAATGAAAGAACTCGTTTGACAGCCTGTCGTTTTTCAGGATGTGTCCAGAATCCCAAGAGAAAGAGACGATGCAACTTACATAGAGGAGTGGGCAATGCTAGTAAAGATTTTTCTGAACGCAAGAACATGAAAGAGGGATACAGTGATCATAAACCTTAATCCTCAGTCCTGAAGGCATTATGGGCCTGAAAAAAGCTCTTGGGAGAAGTCTGGGTTGGGGAATATCATAAAGATCGTGCAAGGCGGATTTAACTGTACGGCAATGAAGGCTGGCCCTGTGCTCAACTCCTCCACCCATCCATCTCCCGCCTCTTCGGTCTCCCAAGAAACTACAGTCCCCAAAGCCCTCCCTGGACCCCCTCCACTCAAACGCAAGTGGTCCACACCAAGTGATTGAAAAACTTCTAGACTTTATGGAAAAAGAAACGACAATCAACTAGCCAAAAAAGAGCCTCCAAATCCCGTCTGATCCCAGTTCCTTCCCCCCCCCCTCCCCTTTGCTGGTTTAGGACCTCTCCACCGTCTCAGTTCTCCGGGTCCTGACAGTCTCCCAACGCTGTTCCTAAGGGTCCACAGGAAAGCAGGTCAGGCGGGACGGCCTCAGCTACGCACTTCTGCACGAGGAAGGCGCGAGAAACAGGAGCAATGGAGAATCGGTCCACTTCGGGGCAGGAACACGCGGGAGTAACGGCAAACGGGAGGAACTCGGGACACGCTCCCGCGCAGCAGTGACGAGACGGGGGTGTCAGTTCTCCTCCGGCTTGTCGGCTGGCGGTCCGCAAGGCTGCAGCATCTTCTCCATCAAGTTGAAGCGGACTCGCGCTTTGCTCTCATTCTCCGCAATGGCGAAGTAGTTGAGAAGGTCGAAGTGGCCCATGTAGGAGCAGTAGGAGTCGCGGTGCTGGTTTACCAGCCACTCCCACTTGGTGGTGTCGGCGTGGCCCGTGCCGATGTACTTGGACTGCAGGTGCTCCAGCTGGCTGTGGATAGTGTAGCGGTCAGTCATCTCGCCGCTTTCCCTTTGCGCCCAGGTCAGACGCCGCCGAGGAGAAGCTGCTCTAGATGTTCACGCGGGAGACAGCCCACGACACGGAACCTCCCGGCCGGCTCAGTCGCAGGAGAATGACGTCACAGCCACGGAGCCGCGAGGACTCGCGGTCCTAGCGCTCAGAGGAGGAAGCGGAAGTGTATTCCGTCTGGGCATTGGAGTTGCCTAGGCGACGCTACCAGTCTGCCGCCCGCCCCCCGCCCCCGCCATGGAGAGCTCCGCCCCCTCCGTAGAGCGTTGCATTATGGTTCATTCAGTGGCCCCTGCTCTAGCGCGGAGCGTTGCATGTCGGGACCTGTGGTCGCCGAGGGTTCGTGCGCGCCCGCCTCCCTGGGCGGTCGTCGCGGTTCAAGAGCCCGCCGGCGCCTGGCGGAGCGTCGTGTCGGGGAGGCGGGGAGCATCCCTGGGCGGCTGGGGGCTGCGAAGAAATGGGGCGCTCCCACAGGCCGCCGCGAGAGTAACCTCGGTGTAACTTTGGTTTCGGAGCGAATGTGGCGGCGTGGTGGCCCGGTCACGGCCCGGGGTGGGTCACCCTGAGAATCAGTCGGTCGACGCGACTGCGGCTCCCAGCTGTGCGTCTTCTTTCAGCGCCGGCGGGGCCGCCGCTTCCCGCCCGGTGCCCGAGCGCCCCACGGGCGCCGACGCGTTCGGGCTCCCACACGGAGCCCCGCCCCCACCCGCCCCCACCCGCCCCCGACTCTCCAGCTGCTCGCCGCACCCTGCGCCCCCGAGCCGGTGTGTCTCAGCGTTGCGTGCAGCTCGCCTCTGCAGTCCTTTGTACTAGATGTTCCCTCCGCTTGGAATGCTTTTGTTCCCTTGGCGAACAACTTCTCTCTTTGAGTCAGCTCAGAAGCATCTCCTTGAAATCGGCTTTGGCCACACCAGACAGACGTAAAGTGTCCTGTACATCGCTTCATTATGATCGCTTTATATCCTACGTGTTGGGTTCTTTTTTCTTCTTTTCTCTCTTTTTTTTTTTTTTTTTTTTTGAGAACTCCCTCGTGTGAATTCAAGCTACTTGGGAAAAGTAGCGTATACTTTTTTGATGCCATCATTTATCACAGCTTCTTTTGTGGTGTCTTTCTGTGATACCGCCCTTGCGATACTTGGCCTGGTAGAGCTCGCATCCTCAAAAGACGTTTGATGAACGGACGAACGACTGTGGCAGCAAGTAGCGGGGACTCTTTAGTGGGAGAAAGATGACTTTGAAATAGCTGCGTTCTGCAGTTAGGTACAGATGAGCAAGTCTAGAGATCTAATGTACACACAGCATGATGATCAAAGTTAATCCTGTATTGAATATTAGAAATTTGCCAAGAGAGTGGATTTCAGGACATGTTGATCAGCTTAACGGTAGCGATCATTTCATTATGCGTATACATTAAATCATGTTGCAAACCTAAAACATAAACAATCTTTATTTTCTAATATATATATATTATATATATTAGAAAATATATATATATTTTATTATATAATTTATTTTCTAATATATATATATATTTAAAGGAAAGAAAATGACAAAAAGCACTCTTTATGGGGACAAATGCCTGTGCCCAAAATGGAAAAAATAAAAGTCTTATTCTTTGGTTTAAACCGTGTTATATAACATTTCATTCCTAAAATGTAGAGACTGTTATAAGATATACCTGAGGATTCACTGTCCAGATATATCAGAGCTTACCACTTTGCCATTGCTTCCAACTTGGTTATATTTGTTTTGGTTTTGGTTTTCAAAGAAATAAAATATAAAAAATGAAGTTCTCTGTGTTCCCCTCCCTAATCTATTTACTTCAAGAAACCAACTTGAATTTAAAGGTCACCATTTCCCAGTCTGGTTGGGGTTTTTTGTTGTTGATTGCTGAAAGTTTGTGTATCCAAGGGGTTATTGTTACGCATGTTTGAAGTTTAACATAAATGATACCCTGTGGGTATTTTTCTTTCCCTCATCAGAATCCGTGCTAATATACGCGGTTCTAGTTCATTTTTCCTGTTGTGTAGCGCGTTGTTGAATTAATATACCATAATGTGTCCATTAACTCAATGATAGACATTTAATTTTACATCTTTGCATAAGAAACAATGCTGCAATAAATATTCTTGTATATATATTCTTATATACATGAAGAAGTTTCTCTAGGGCATATATATGGGTAAAAAATTGTCGAGACATAGGGATGAGTATCTTCAAGCTTTGCTAGTTATTGCCAAATTGCTCTCCAAACTGCTTATACTCATTGGCTTTCCCAGCAAGAGAATGAGAATTCCTTTTGATCCACATCCTTCCCAAAACTTGATATTTAAAAAAAAATCAGATATTTAAAATATCTCAAAATATCCTCAGATATTTAAAAAATTTATTCAGATTCAGTGGGTGGAATGGAATTTCACTGTGTCTATAATTTGCAATCCCCTGCTTACTAGGAAGACATGCTTTTTATGAGTTTATTGGTCTGTTTTATTTCTGATTTGTGAATTGCGTATTCATACTTTGACAATTTTTTAAATTGCAATGTTTGTCTTTTTCTTACTAATCTTTTAGGAGATCATTATATATTCAGAATGCCAGACCTGCTAGTTATATGCAATGAAAGTATTTTTTTTCCAGTCTGTGATACCTTCTTTATGGTATCTTGTACAGAAGTTAAGTTTAAAGTAGTGAAATGTATCAGCCTTCCTTTATGTTTCATGCTTTTTTTGTCATTGGATTAAAAATTGAAATTAAGGGACACCTGGATGGGTGGCTCAGTGGTTGAGCATCTGCCTTTGGCTCAGGGCATGATCCCAGGATCCTAAGATAAAGTCCCTGCATCAAGTTATCTGTGGGGAGCCTGCTTCTCTCCCTGCCTATGTCTCTGCCTCCCTCTGTCTCTCATGAATAAATAAATAAAATCTTTTTTAAAAAACCAGAATTAAGCAAAACTCTTTTTACCCTTGGGCTATAAAAAATAGTTCCCTTTATTTCATTTTAAAAGTTTTTAAATTTTGATTTTTAATTTAATCTACCTGGAAGTTTTTCTTTTGATTTGCTTGGCTTCAGGGATCTAATTTTCAAACATTTTCCTACATGGCTAACTAGTTCCCAGTGATAAGGATCATTCATTAAATAGTACAAACTTTCCCTACTAATCTTTAATGCTTCTCTTATATATGTGTTTCTGGGCATTCTGTTCCATTAGTCTCTTTGTCTATATGCACATTGGTAACACAAGATGTTAGTTATTGTGGGGTTTTTAAAATTTTTTAAAAGATGTTAATTATTATATCTTTATAATAAATCCTGATGTCTGGACAGGTTGAAAGTTGTACAATTTCCTTCTTTTAGAAATGTCTTTTTTTAAATTTTATTTATTTATTTATGATAGTCACAGAGAGAGAGAGAGAGAGAGAGAGAGACAGAGACACAGGCAGAGGGAGAAGCAGGCTCCATGCACCGGGAGCCCGATATGGGATTCGATCTCGGGTCTCCAGGATCGCGCCCTGGGCCAAAAGCAGGCGCCAAACCGCTGCGCCACCTAGGGATCCCCTTTTTAGAAATGTCTTAACAGTTCTTGATCCTTTGCTCTTCCACATGAATTTAGAGTTGTCAGTAAAATCCTCATGGAAATTGTGATTGCATAGTCAAAGCCAGGGAAATTAATATTATTTCCATATCAGTAAGAATGATTCTAAGGATATGAGAGAATTCCTCAAATTCAAAGGGCCCTTAGAACTAGATGGAAAGTACATTTATGTATAGTAATTAGGAGCTAAGGTGTATTAGTTTGCTGGGGCTGCCCAAACAAAGTAGCACAGACTGTGTACCTTAAACAATAGAAATTATTCCCTCATAGGTCTGGAGGCTAGAAGCCAGAGATCAAAGTGATGGCAGTGTTGGTTTCATTCCGAGGCTTCCCTCCATGATTTGCTGATGGCCATCTTCCCTCTGTGTTCCTCTGTATGGCTGTGTCTTAATCTCTTCTTATAAGAAGGCCAATCATATTGGATTAAGGTCCACTCATGTGGCCTAATTTTACCTAAAGGCCCTCCACTCAAATTCAGCCACATTGAGTTACTGGGAGTTAGGACTTCATCGTGAATTTTGGGGGGACACAATTCAGTCAGTGGTAATGGTTTTATACGGTAATGAGGACTATATAAGAAAATGTATCTTTTGACATATTTATAAATTTAATTAGATTTGTGAACACAGTTTAACCACATAAGAAAACTTTATTTATTAAGTCAGACAATTGTAATACAAGGAAAATGCAACATATTACATTAATAAGTGTGGTTTAAAATGTTGAAGAGTAAAAATTTGGAGTGAAACTAAATTTTATCCAAACGCCTTGTAAGAGTCTGAAATTTTGCTAGATTTATGGATAGTTTAGGATTTTTTAACTGAAGTTACAAGCTTAGGGAAAAAAGGCAGTTTTTTCATATAACTGTAATACACTTAAAAATTAACTTCTAAAATCTAAACAGATCTCTGAATGGTATTTTGTGCATTTCCCGGAGTGAACCTCAAAGTCATCAGAAAAGTTCCATTTAGGGATCCCTGGGTGGCGCAGCGGTTTGGCGCCTGCCTTTGGCCCAGGGCGCGATCCTGGGGACCCGGGATCGAATCCCACGTCGGGCTCTCCTGGTGCATGAAGCCTGCTTCTCCCTCTGCCTGTGTCTCTGCCTCTCTCTCTCATTCTGTGTGACTATCATAAATAAATAAAAATTAAAAAAAAGAAAAGTTCCATTTAATAAGACCAGCTTGCAAATAACATAAAAACCCTGCTTCCAGGGATCCCTGGCTGGCTCAGCGGTTTGGTGCCTGCCTTTGGCCTGGGGTGTGATCCTGGAGACCCGGGACTGAGTCCCGTGTCGGGCAGGAACCTGTTTCTCCCTCTGCCTCTCTGTTGCTCTGTGTCTCTCATTGATAAATAAATAAAATCTTAAAAAAAAACCTGCTTCAATTTTAATTATATTGATTTAAGAGATTTATTTGGAGAGAATTGTCATTTTTTAAAAGGATTTTATTTATTTATTTATTTATTTATTTATTCATTCATTCATTTATTTATTTATTTATTTATTTATTATTAATGAGAGAAA